ATAAAGGAGTTGTAGAGTGATAACAGGGCTTTGGCAGTGTAAAATGGGCCTGTTAACATTTCTTTCATGTTGAAAACCCTGTCAGTAACGCCAGCACGAGATACTTGCCATTAAGCAGCAAATTATTTCTTTAAACCACACTCCTGTTAAGAGAGACGTGTTTTGTAATAATGAAGTATGGTAAACAAATTCCACTTTCAAATGACACAACACTATACAATTAAACATTATATAAATAGCACAGAACAGAATTTTGTGCTGTGCCAGGATAGGAGTATGGTATTCATTTATCACAGCGTCACCCCAGTGCACCAAGTGGAGAATATTCATGCAGAACAGCTGAATTTTTCTGCTACTTCAAACACGGAAATGGTAGGTATTTATCCAGCTGCATTAAAAAAGAGAGGAAAGGCTCTTGTAGAAGCATCAAAGACAACATCACAGCACTTTCTAAATATTAGTTATGTGGTAAGAGTGAACTTGGACAACTATGTTATTTCTGCCTCCTCTTGTTTTTTCTGATTATCTACAGTTCTAATGAATGATTTGGTAAAATAAGTAAGGTTTAGTTACATAGTTTGGGGCCTGAAAGGGAAAAGCGGCACAGACTATGAGGTTGCCTGAAGCTCTATTTCCTAGGACAGAAGCTGAAGAGTGTTTTGTAATAGGGATATTACAGCCACATTCTTGAACAAGAACAAGACCTTGCTGTGCCTATAATAAAATGCCAATAAAAACTGGCAGTAAACTGCAGTTTGTATATAACATTGATTTATCTCACAATTTTTCAAGCTGATACCAGCTTTGTATTAGATGGTTAATTCTTGTGTCTGTCTGGGTTTATGTAATCTATCTGATTGGGAAAATGTGAACTGCCCAAATCAGGGTATAAATCAAGGCAGGATGTTTTACACTATTGCCGCAATCCCTTCTGGTTCTTTACCTATCAAAAGCACAAACATGGTCCTTCAATACAGGCATCCTTAACGTGGCATCACAAGGCTAGCTCATCTGGTGGCTGGTTACCAAGTTTTAGACGTGAACTTCCAGGTTAGTCTAGGAAGACTAACTTTTCGGACTTTTAGGAAAAAGGGGTCCTTTCATCTTAAATCGGTATGGAGGACCTAACTCCTATGACAACCACTTTTATGCGCTGCAGTGTTACGATTTTAACCGCGCCTCGCTCCCATGTTAGTGCAGAGCGCTCATTTGCCATATCCCTTGGTAGATGCATTTAACAGTGTGCTGTTTATGTATGCCAGACAAAGGCAGTGCTCTCACAGAATACAAACTCTGAAGAAGCCAGTGCATGAGGATCCCTTTCCGTCACTGACTATGACAGTATGCTTTTCCATTAAAATTTACCACAGTTTTATGAATAGTCAGGTAAATCGGTGGTGTAAGCGCACTTGCCCATCTCAGAATGGTACGCTGCCATTGTGAAAGTTCCCCTTCCCACTGCTTAACCCTTTACACAGCATTTGACTGTTGGAAGCGGAACTGAAAGTATAAAAAGACAGACACTAGTTACGCATTCTGCTAGCAAACATCACCGTATATGCTAGACTTTTTTTGAATGTGCTAATCAAGTAGAGGCTTAGGAAAGGGAAATGCTGCCAGACTAACAACACTGGGTCCCAGTGAAAGGCCAGGGGCTGTCTGGACCAAACCCAAGCTCGTGGGAGCAGGTTGAGGAGGAGCAGCCTGCTAAACCCACTGTGGGTGTCACGGCTCCTGGGTGCAAGGAACCCTTTCGGGAGCAGGCTGTGAGCATAACAGCGGGCTATATTGAGGCTGGCAGAATTCTTGCAGAACACCCGTGACTTGTAAATTATTTCATATCAGTCAGCCATGCTCATAATAACAGATTACACTTTTTTTTTTTTTTTTTAATTTGACTAGGACTTACTTATTCTGAAATAATTGGAAGTAGAGGTCATACTTAATATACTGAAAAATATACTTTCCTCTTTTCTTTTAGCTTTATCAAGAGCAGGACAATAGCGCTAAGCATCACAAAATAATACATTGCTTTTTGGCAACACATAAATTAACAGTTTCAGAATTCAAAGCTTAGATACATCTGTGAACTGTCAGCGTGAGTGAAAAGCACTGAAATCCCCCTTGGTTTTTGCTCACAATTGTAACCAAACCCATAAATCTAACTTTAAAGGAATGAGACTTGAGCCAGAGACCCATGCCTTGTCTACACTTAAAAGGGTTGGCTGGTATAGCTACACCTTAGAGCTGTATTGGCAAGCACAGATTTCTTTCTGGTGTAACTTAAATCACTTTCCGCATGGAACATGCTAAACTGGCTAAGGGACTCTGCCAATATAACGGCATCTACACTAGGGCTTTCGCCAGTGTGGCTGTAGCTGCATGGGAGTGATTTTTCATCATTCTGACAGCTATTTTGGCAAAACTTCTACATTTAGACTGGGTCCAAGTTAAAGTTGGCATTGTTTTATGTTGCAAATAAAGCAGAAGAGAAGCACTGCCAGTTTATGGCCCTGGTTTTACATTATTTTAAATTGTTTGTTCTAAAGGAATGTGTGGGGCAGGATCCATGTGGTCCTTTGGATGTTTGCCCTCCCACATTTGTGCTGCATTAAAATGGCTTGGTTTTTCAGTGAGTGAGCTTTGGCAATGGGGAAACCTACATTACTAAAAAAAGACAGCATCCATATTATTCACCCCAGAAACAGCTATCCTCATGCTTTAAAGCAAATTTCCAAAGTGAAGGGAACTGCAAAAGGAAGCATCCGGGCCAAAGGACGTGTGGATTATCATTCTTCAATTTGTCCTCAGTCCAACAAAGCATTTATGCACAGGATTAATTTTAGGCACACACATAAGCCCATTTAAAGTTTAGTAGTCATGTCAGATATGATAATGCTCCTTCTTGAACTTTAATTAAGCAGATATTTGAAATTAATCGTATGTTTAAGCACTGTGCAGAATTGGGATTTCTGTCAGAAGTTCAAGTTTACATAGAGTGAGGTATTTATTGTTGTACCATCTACATTTTCTTTCCTGAAGTGGATGTTAAGTCTGTATTTTAAAGATGTCCCAAAGGGCATATTTTACCACATAAGTACATTTACATATTTGGCTCTTTTTTCCTAATCTCTTCTTTGGCTAAGTGTGGGGTTTTTTTGGTATCAGAAATCCATGCAGAGAAGTTTACATTGATTTTGTAATTGTATTTACTGCTGAACTCTTTCCTCTGCCAGACATCGTGTTTGCATGTGTAATCCTGAGGCTGGGGTTTGCAAGCCTGCCCGTGCTGCTGGAGCTGCAGTGCGGACAGCAGGCCCTGCCTCAGCCGCAGGCACTGCAAGGGCTGTTCGAGGGCTGTTCGAGGCAGATAGGAAATTTCGTGCGTAATCACTCAGCACTGAACCAGTGAGCCAATTGGACGAGGAAGTCTGATTTAATCAAGTCTTCTTCCTTCCTTTTTGTAAAGCACAGAATGTGCCCGTTAGAAGAAAACACAGGGACATTTTTCTGCTTTTTGAAAATGCGAAGCAGGCTTTTCGTGACTTCGTCCAGACTACACATGCACCACAACTAAAAGCTCTTCAGCAGTTTCCAGGTGAGCATTCTGTGCCCTTTCGTTTCTAGTGTCACTTACAGCTCAGTGAGGCAGCTGGAGTGGCATTTAGCCTGAAACGGAACAGGATGAGTGTCTGTTCGAAGAAAAAATGTGTAATTTGTTTCAGGGGTTTTGTATCGTTTTGGATTTTTTTAATATTTCAAAATAAATAGTAGCTTAGTTAAAAGACTTTACAATGATTTTTAGCAGTTTCCTCACCTCTGTACTGCTTAACTGTGTGATACACAAGCGGAGGCAAAACGATACGTAGTAACATCCCTATCCAAAACCCTCTCATCACCCAACAACCACTGCTTGGGCATTATTTTTACACTTGTAGCAGAGGGACTTGTTTTGTTCAAAAGTAGATTGTTCTGTTATTTGATTTTTCACCTGTTGGCTGTATTGTAAGCAACACATCTCTCATGCTAACTAACAGAACACAGCACCCTGGCAAAGTTGTTAGGAAGTTCTTAGAACTTTTTCAACTGCTAGTATGACACAACGATGTAACAGGTAGGCTTTTGTGTTTGTTTGTTTTTTTAAAAAAAAACCACCCTGGGGAGACATTTATGCAGCAGAATGGCCAGAATGGTCTATGGACTAGAAGTATATTGTGTTATGCATTCTATCAGTATGTGGTAAAACAGTAGTCCTAGCAGAACAGGCATAGAGATCTACAAGCACAGCATATAGGTTAAAGAGACAAGTAAAAGGAGAATGCTTCTGTATAATAATTAGAAAACTCAGTTGTCCTTCCACCTCGCCATTGTCAGATCCAGTTGTTTTGTTCTCATAGTACAGAGACAAGTTTCTGGAGAGAACTTGAAACTGAAATATGAGAAAAGTATTATACTATTTTAGATATCGCCCTATTTTGCCCTACAGGTTGTGATTAAGAACACATGGCAAGTTTTGGAGTCTTGGGAACAGTAAATGCTAGCAGTGTAAGGGAGCCAGGCTGCTAGTTATACTAATTATCTCCAAGGTTTTAGTTCATCTGAACTCATACTTGCAACCTTGAGGGAAAAATACAAGGAGAAAAAAATCTGCCCCCAGGGAAGTTTACAGCAAAATTCTCATGGATAAGAGTGGGGAATGGAGTTCCCCACCTAATCTTACTCAACGTAGCTTCTTATGGTTTTCATGTTTAATTTTAATCTGCCAAAAAGATATCCAAACACTTTCAGTGGTAATGGTAATAGTAATGGTTCTTCAGTGGTAGCTATATAGATATTTCTATTTATTACTTTAGTTTTTATGAAACTACAGTTGCCCTCATACAATTCACAGGGAACAATGAGTAAGTCAATAAAAAAAAATTACCAGACTTTAAAGATGTTTTAAAGGCATGCTACTAAGAAATGCCATGTTTTTTGTCATCTTTCAGGGATAGCTTGCAATGGACGAAGACTCACACTGCACAACGGAAAGGGAACTGCTGGAAGCTGTAAGCAAGATTACTACGTTTTCTACCCCAAGTCCATCTGATGAAGAACAAAATGAACCGCAAGCTGAAATTTCATGTCAAGGGAGAAAAGAAAACCTGGAAAAAGATGACCTGCAAGGTTGATGCTATCCTTTAATTTTATTTTTCATGTAGCTATTTATGCCATTAATCTTTTCTATAAATAACTTTGCTTTATTTGTTGCAGCAGCACTCAGATTTACACTGCTATACTCCATGGAAAATAAGCCTTGATTAAATTTTTAGTCATAACATAGTGATAGTGAAACAGATGCACGTCCTTGTATGTATATACACACACAAAGTTTTCCTTTTAAATCCCTTGCGCCTAAAATGTATTCCAGATTTTATTTACACACCAGGGACCAAAACAGTGACCATCAAATGGCCTGTCTCGGGAGCGCATTTTCTGTACATCACAAAACTGAACTTCTTGGCTGTATCACCAAGGACACCAAGATTAAAGCTAATCTCTAGCAGTAGTCTCTCACACGCCTTACGAAGAGGCAGCACTGAACTTTTACTATGCCTAAGATTGCTGTTATCTGTTATTAAATAACGTTATATATAATCCAAAATATATATAATCTTATCAAGATTTTCAGCCTGCAAAGATGTCTAAAACACCACCCCTCTTAGGAAATATATGCTTTGCAGAGATTGATCCAAACCCTAAAGGCCTTGATAATTGAAACTGTATGGCTAAATGATTAAGAACATGTAAAAATGGGGCCACTGAAGGAGTACTACGGTGCCTTTACAATTCTATTTCTGCATCAAGCTGTTATCTTCCCATTCATTTGTGGTCATTCACCTCCATTGTCTGAATGTTACTTTGCAGACTGACTTCAGGTGACTGCATTGACAGAGACATTATTGATTGGAAATTGGGACTGGTATGCCCACTGAAATACAAATATCCCATTTCTTTTATCCACTTTGCTAGCCTATATGCCACCTGATGAAAACTGTTGTCAGTAGATTTCAAAGACGGAGAAATCACCCTTTTGAAAAGATACATCAAATTCCCCTGTAAGCAAACTCTTCAACCAGCTGTCCTACATTTTTATAGATGCATTTGTATGTATCTTTGTGTGTGTGTGGCTGTGGGGGAAGAGAAAAAGGAAGGGAAGGAGGTATACAAAATATTTGTAGCTGAACTGTGGCATCAGTTCAGGTACAAAAGAAAAAGGGGATGTGACAATTTCTCCTTCGGCTGAACTGGTTATCTGAGTTCCTCCTTTGAGGTTAGGATATTCATGTTTTCTCAGCTTTCACCTGTTACTGCACGAACCGAATATTTGGATAGGGTCAGCATTTGAATATATGTCTGAATTTGCAGCTGCATTGTACTGTCTCCTTTTAGCAACAAAGAAGCCTGGAGAAACATCTGATTCAGAAGACTGAGTCCACATTTCTTGGGGCTAATTCTGGGTTGGTGAAGCATACCTCCTGCTCAAACTGTGACCAAGGTCACAAACTGGTCATACAATACTTCTTGTCAGTATTTTTTCTATAACTTTGTATTCTGCAGCTGATTTGGTATCTTTCAAAATTTCAGACCATACTAGCTTTCCTCAAAGCATCTGGACCTGTCGTTATTAGCAGTGAAATCGCTTATGTTATCGGTCTTTAAGTCTTACTGTTACAGCAACAGAAATTCTAGGCTCACAGTTTCACAATAAAGGCATGAGTTTTCTTTCAAATGTAAAGATTATAATTTGAAATACCAACTATATTGTTTTTAGATTCCAATGCATCCCTAAGTCCCAACTCGTCAATGACCACTAAAGAGCTTCAGGAATATTGGAGGAATGAAAAACGCCAGTGCAGACAAGTCAAACTCCTTTTTGAAATCCCGTCAACCAGAATTGTAGAGCACCACTTATCTAAATATGTGGTAAGCTAAAAAATTAATATGTAAGAAGATCATTAATTTTTATTCACTCTACAGGGGTCTGCGCAGCACACAGCATGCCTCACTACATGAAAGCCTTACTGAGGGCCAAGTTTTGCAACCCATGATCATACTGAGTAGAACCTGTTCTCGCTGATCGTATAGGCATAGCTGGTGGAATCTACCCCTAAAAGAAAACCTCTGACAATCAGGTCACAAAACCTGCAGCAGTGGAAGAGTAATATCAAGTAAATTAGTAGCTTGAGTGTCCTTAACACCCAGAGGCTTGTCAAAATTAAGGAAATTCACACAGGTATAAATATATCAATATAGTTACACTTCCACTGAGCTAGCCTGCTGCAGCAACTGTATTGCATTTATATAACTTCCACATCAGAGACTTATGTTAGCACAAGCGCAAAATCCTTTGATGCTGACAATGTCTAAGACATCCTCCAGCTAGATCACTTAGGATAGTTCGCCATCCCTACCTAGAGCTCCATTAGATGGCATATTTCTGTCATATTTTTAAGGTGAAACATGAGTATGAGGGACAGGAACAACAGAACGGGTTGGATTTTTATATCTTTATTCACAGTACTGACGCTTGGTTTTTATTTCTGATCCTGCTCCTGGCCTTGAGGAGGACTGATCTAGAGTAAGTCTCTCTGAGTACTCCTGTGAAATTCAGATGCCTTGTTTGCAACAACCCCTGAAATTTGTAGATGAAAAATGCTAAGAATCATACTAGTGTTGCTGATACTGCATGATGCAGCAGAACTTGAAGCAGGTAAATGTTCTGGAGACTGTCCTAAGGTCTTGTTGCATGCTATACACACCTACTGAGATGTTGCCATTCTTGCATACATTCAACAGTATCCAGCTTGTTGAACAGTTAAAAATTATATTATTATTAACTTTATGAGAACAAGAGTATCATTCAGTGTATGTGCAAGTAGTTAAACTTAGTCATAAGTTACATGCCTAGGCAAAAAGATTTACATTACAACAACAATTTAGTCAATTTGAATGATAGTGTAATTAAATGGTATTTCTTCCCTTTTTCATGCACACTCCACAAATAAAAAAACAAGTACTTGTAAATTATTCACTTAGCTGCCCTTGATAAAATGATAGCTTAAAAAATTGCTCTTATGATTGTTTTGGATATGCATCAGGCACATACACAATTTTCAGCAGGGAGCAGGACAAAGTATAGGAAAACGTCACCGTGCTTACAAATGATAAGAGATCAGAGAAGTCAGCTCAAATTTGGAAACCTTTCAAGGAGCGCCTGTAAAGATCATTTATGAAGATTAAAAGAGAGGATTTGTCTTTAAGCAAAACCAGGGAAGATAATGAGACAGACACTAGTGCTAGTACAGGTTTGCACCCTTCAACAGCAGCAAAGAAAACAACTGGCAATTGTAGAACTGCATTTCCTGCATAATTCAATGTGAACAGGGCGAAGTTGAATGTGAACATGGTCATCCTCCAAAGGCCAGCAAGGTCAACCGTCCGTGTCCTTAGCTGGTGTACAGTGACACAGTTAAGCAGGCCTCAGTGGAGCTCCACTGGTTTAAACACATTAGGAATTTGGCCTTTCCTCAGCATCACTGTGCTGGGACCAGGACCAGAGGAGAATCTATTTGTACAACACATAACACACTTATTATTGTCATTTTGAGGCTAGTGAAGAGCTGAGGAAGGCACTCTTGAGTCCTGTTAGTGTGGGACAGCCTTGCTGTTAGCGAAAGATTTTGTATAGCAAACAGATTTTTGTAGAAATGTCACATATTTTGCATTATTTATATGCCAAGTAAGTTTGAATAACAGGACAATGATTTAGATGGGAAAAAAGGCTTTGGAGTTCCTCCATCTTATTTTTGCACACACCAAATATTACTGCCAAATAGTCCTTCTTCTTTCACAGCATTAATAACACCCCCAAATCCCTAGAAATGTCTGATACAAACAACATTTCTGAGTATTACGACCAATGTAAAATAGATTACATTCAATATTAGGTCTGGGAAAGCCATTCAGTTCACTGAAGATGATTGATTGCAGCAGTCATGGCTGTTATAAACAAAGTACAGCTACAGAAACGCTTTGTAAGTGATTTTACACGCTTCAGTCTGGTGCTGCTTCACCACTCCCAGCACCTTGCTGGATGGGATCTGTTAGTGTATTGTTTATCTACAACTTATTTACATGCCAAGGCCAAGTCTGGTGACAAAAGTCCAAAACAGCAGGAGGTGGGAATTATTAATTTGATGGCTGCACACTTCAAAGATCAGGCCTACGCTGACCACGCACCATAATCTCAGGCAGCAACTGATTCAGCAGCACTACTATAAGCCATAGCAATAACAGACAAAATCTGACTGCACTGGGGCTAGAATGGTCCTTCTCATGCGTATTTTTCTGTTTTATTGGTTTTAGATGTATAAAATCATCATTTTGCAAACAGGGAGTTTTGACAGCAACAAGTCTGTAATTGAACGGCGTTATTCAGATTTTGAGAAGCTGCACAGAAATCTGCTGGAGGAGTTTAGTGAAGAAATGGAAGATGTGGCCTTTCCCAAAAAAACTCTAACAGGGAACTTCACAGAAGAAATAATCAATGAGAGAAAATTAGCCTTCAAGGACTACCTGAGACTTCTATATTCAATGAAATATATCCGAAGATCAAAAAAATTTATTGACTTTTTAACAAGACTGGAGCTTCAGGAAGCATATGGTTGCCTGCGGGGTGGCCACTACACCAAAGCTTTGGAAATCCTTTTAGAAGTCATTGGTCTGCAGGAAAGGCTGACAAGAGGCAATCCTGTCTCAGTTGTCCCCACTCTCTGTGCTATCGTGGTGTGCCACAAGGATCTGGAAAACCCAGCAAGTGCCTTTGAATATGGAGAAAAAGCTCTATCACGCCTTCGTGTGCATACCAGCCACAGGTATTATATTCCATTGTTAGAAGCAATGATCCCTTTGGCATATGAACTTGGCAAGGATTTTCTGTCTTTGCAAGAAAAACTGGAAGAATGGAAGGCAAAAAAAGATCCCATACGAGTTTTTACCCTGAAAGAACTTGCAGTTCGGGAGTATGTACAATGAACACGGGAAACCATTTCATTAAAGAGCAAAGCTGTCAGCTCCTTTTCCCAAACACAAACTCTTGGAAGAACTGGAAATTACCTGTTTGGCTAACATAACTTTCATTACTAGAAAAAATTAAATCTCTTTCATGTTCAAAAGGGACATTAACATTTATGTTGGAAAATATTATATTTACTCCACAGATATGAGGAGCACCTAAGCTTATTAAGGTTTTTGGAAAGAAATTTGCAATAAAAAATCATTTATGATTTGCTTATTTTGAAAATAGCCAATTTTGTGTGAAAAGTCAGAATAGGAAAATACAATTAATAAAGCAGTTATGAACCTGCAGAATCGGAGGCATTGCTTGCTCATGTGGAAACTACTTCCTTTCAAGAAGAGAAGTATCTCCTCAGTCAATGCAATCTAAAGGATATACCTTCAGTCACTGAATGTAGTTTTTTACTCCTCCAGCTGAAGCCTGGTCAAACAACACTTGCCATTTATGAGAATGATGGGATCGGTCCTATTCCCACTGAGTCAACAGCTGTTGGTGGTAGGACCCAGGGGGAAGGTTTGCAATCAACTTTGGTGGGAGCAAAAAGTACAAGCAGTGATCTATCAGAGATGAGGGAACATGCTTCATTTCCCTTTTGTAGCTGATACAATTTTTGACTTGCATTGAGGCATATTCTTGTTTGGGGTGTGTAGCTCTGACCAGGCTAGAAAATTTGTACCATGTGTGCTCTATACATAATGGAAAGGAACCACAGAAGAGTGTTGTTGAGGAGAACATCTGGCTAATATAATGCTAGCATTTAATTCTGATTATCAAGCTGAGAGACACATGGTTAACAGACAGTCTGTGTTAAGCATGTGCTTCTCTGTTGCCTTTCAGAGGTTTATGTAAATTGGGTGTTGCCTTAGTTTTACAGCCTGGTAAACCATGCAAATATCTTGGTGGCACTGCGATGTTACAGCTAATTCTTTCAGGGGTCCAACCCACATATACAAATACTAAGCGTGTCTTGGCCCTAACACTCCTGTGAAAGCTTCATAAAAGCTGAAAAAGTCTCTATTTACCTGCTTCTGTAATTTACTTCAACTCTATTATCTCTCCCATACACTTATTTTAACAATTTCGTAAGTTAATTGCCATAAATATTGTAATTAACATGTCATGCTAGCATAGGTCATTATTCTCTGCTGAACATAGTCCACTGAGTACTTTCAGGCCCATTCTACAGGTACAGATACTACATGCATCACAATGACACTATCTATAAACTAGGAATAACTGTATTAACTTACCTTCCAGACACATAAAAGAATCTCCTAATTGAAAGTGCACCGAATCTGAAAAACATTGCTGTGCATTGTTACAAGAAGAATGGCTTGGAAAAAATACAGAATAATAGGAGTGTCTAGGGTGGAAAGTTAATATTTTAAGTAGCTATTAACAGCTAGGAATTAAACTCAAAATATGTGGATTACATGTTATTTGACAATTATTGTTTTTTCTAGTTATACCAGAAGTAAGAGAATTAAGAGTAATTAATTAAAAGACTTAAGGACTAATCTTCCCACAACATACCATTGTAGGACAGTTAAAATGCATCAAAAGTATCACCTTCTTAGAGGATCATGTCTGACTCAGTAACAACGTGGCGAAGAAAAAAAGCACGTCTGGGGTCCGCACCACACTCGCAACTTGGAGTTAAGGCAGAAAGGAAGCATGGCCATCGTGCTGCTTTATCTCCACAGCAGTTTGTGGTGAAAGACCAAAAGAATAGGGAAAAATAATTTCCCCCCTTTTGCTCCCTCCCCTCACTGTGTGCAGCGTCCCAGGCACAGCTGCCTTGGATTCTCCTCAGGTTCCTATGGGACTGTACACGGGTAGCTAATTGTGTCCACAGACCCTCACCTGACTAAAAGATTAGAGAGTCCACAAGTACATGCTGTCTAGCAAGGGTAAGTACCAGGAAAGGAGCACATCAGAGAGATCTTACTTAACCTTTAATTGTGGTAATACTGTAACTTTCCATCTCCGAAGGATTAACTGATCCAGAGCTAACCAATTTTTGTTGGCATGGCAGTGCACTTTAGGAATATGAGGAGGTGCTATTTGGATAAGAGAAAAATTTACATAATCCAAAAGGCACTAAAATAAACAGTGCCAAAAACCCCCACTGTTTTGTTGGTATAAGCCAAATTTCTTCTGAGAATGCTTTTCCATATAACATACTAGCGGAGTTTTGTCAGCAAAATGGTCCTACAATAGGTCACTTTATCCCTGTGCACCAGAAGGCAGAGGTCAATCTCCTTGTATTACGGGGGAAAATTAACTAAATAAATACAGGAATGGTGTGAAGAAAGAAAAATGTGTCAGATAATTCCACCCACACTGAACTTCTTTAATGGAGAGCCTTTTCAGTGGGGCAGCTCTGGCAACCAGTCAGCCACAATGTCTTCAGAGCTACCCAGGACGAATATATCATCTCCCTCACTCAAAGGGCTGATTTCAATTTCTGCTGCATTGAGACTTCCAGTCAAGCCACTTCATGTATGAATCCACAGAGCCTACAGCATATGTCAAATGGTTGTGTAGTGTTCATAAAATCAGTTTGTGATTTCATTACTACTACAATATAACAAAACTAAAATCTCCCCCAACAATTCAACCTCCCCTGAGCAAATCATGTGTGTATTCCCTTCCTACAAATGCAGAGCCTGTGACCTTCAGATTTATTAATCTCTTCAGAGATGACATTGAAAATCCTTGGAAAGAGAAAACGAGTATGGTGATGGCAATGAATGGGGACCCAAGGGGCTGGATTTCATCTGGAGCTCTGCCACAGACATGGTCTGAACGTTGCACAAGTAACTTAACCTCTGTGCCCCTATTTCCTCACCCAGTACTTCCCCAGTTTCCTCATTCTGGTTTTCAGTACTTACTGAACAGAAAAGCTGTGAAACTTGACCAAATATTTTAACTCCAACATTTAGCTTAGAAATGCGCATTGGGATGGAGGCAATTTTGATTTCTACAAGCCTATTTCACTTCTTGAAGATATCTTGAAATGGAGGAGATCTTAGAGACAGTAAGTTGCCAAACCTGTGTGCTTATTGACGATTGCATAGTTTCTTACTAATGCAGTCCTATTTTAGAAACAGGCGTTACTTTCCTTATACACTAGAGAAGTTACAAAATTATCTATTTATTGCACTGGACTGTAGTGAGACCATGCTGGCTGGCTCATCAGCTCCATAGGCAATCAGCCAGTTCTGATTTCTTCGCTGTGTATTCTCAGAGACTGGTTGGACCTGCCAAAAAAAATCTGCTTTCATTTACTCACATTTCAAGAGTCAACTTCTGCATATTCTTTTCACTTGATTTTTACAGCAAAGTGAGTATTCAGCAGTTACATGTTACTAAACTAAAAGGTAATGGCATTTCTGCTCCTATACTGACCCTACTATCTTCCACATGGAATGACAGCCTGCAAGGACCGGTTTCCCTCTGCCTGCCCATGCGATTTTATCTTTCACAGGTAAAATGTGTAGCCAGATAGGGCAGATTTCCTGCAGGGAGTCAGTGAAGATTAGTCTCTTTCCCCATGAGCCAGCAATGTGCGCTCCCAGCCCAGAAAGCCAACCGTATCTTGGGCTGCATCAAAAGAAGCGGGACCAGCAGGGCGAGGGAGGCGATTCTCCCCCTCTACTCTGCTCTTGTGAGACCCCACCTGGAATATTGTGTCCAGCTCTGGAGCCCCTAACATCAGAAGGATATGGACCTGTTGGAGCGAGGCCCCAGGAGGGCCACAAAGATGATCAGAGGGCTGGAGCCCCTCTCCTAAGAAGACAGGCTGAGAGAGTTGGGGTTCAGCCTGGAGAAGAGAAGGCTCGGGGGAGACCTTGTAGCACCCTTCCAGTACCTGAAGGGGACCTACAAGAAAGCTGGAGAGGGACTTTTTACAAGGGCATGTAATGATAGGGCAAGGGGGAATGGCTTCAAACTGGAAGAGGGTAGATTTCGATTAGATTCAGATTTAGATATCAGGAAGAAATTTTTTACTCTGAGGGTGATGAGCCACTGGAACAGGCTGCCCAGAGAAGCTGTGGCTGGCCCATCCCTGGAGGTGTTCAAGGCCGGGCTGGATGGGGCTTTGAGCAACCTGGTGTAGTGGAAGGTGCCCCTGCCCATGGCAGGGGGGTTGGAACTAGATGATCTCCAAGGTCCCTTCCAACCTAAACCATTCTGTGATTCTATGACTAACATTGCCCAGTGCAGGCATACAGTAATGGCTGCAGATCCCCCATTTGTGAATTGAATCTGTCCTGGCTTTTTCATAAGATGTAGAAAAATTAAATGGGTGCTCACCACCTGCCACCGCATCTTGTTTTTTCCTCTAAGTGTTTTAAGAATGGCTCAAAAAGGAAATAGCTAACATTTTCACCCACATCTACTTGTTTTGCTTATCTATTGCCCTTCCTCAACTCTTGTCAAGAAGCCATTGGAAAAACAACAACTAAGATCCTTGCACACTCTCCATGGGGTTTGCATGCTGTCCCCAGAGTACACATCACACCTTTCCAGGTGCTGGGCCAGCAAAAGTGAAGAGCACTGCAGAAGTAAAGCTATTTTGGAAGAAGAAAACTCTGGCACTACCACATATGCAAGAACGGAACATAAATTAAGCAAGCAGGTGGTTCCTCCTTCCAGACAGCCATTTTACGTTCACTCTTCATTGCTGTACAATATTTGAGTGATAAAAGCCTGTTTTATAAGTAAATCCATTTCATCCATTTCCTGTCTCCCAAAACAACGTGTGCTTTTTACAAAAAAGTTCTTTGGTTCAATAAAATAAATGGAAATGAGCAGTTGCTGGCATTTGTCCTGTTTGCATTATTAACATTCATCAGCCATTCTCTGTACCTGGAAGGCAGCTGGAGTCAACAGACAGGATTGTCTGGAGCCCCAAGCTCTGCACTTGGCAATGTCACAAGCCTGCTGGGTGACCTTGATCAAGTCTACTCGAATCTCAGATTTCTTTTGAATACCAATATTGCTTTGCTTTCTCCTATAAAGCTATGTTTTACTTATACTTTTATCAGTACA